ATCAACCTTTTCTAGGAAATTCGTGAAAAACCTTATAAGCATAGATTTGAACTCTATATCCAAGGGCTTTTTGTCCTCCATTTCTTTTGTTTGTGATCTTTTTCCTTGTCTCTGCATTTTCACAGCTTTCCTGAGTTGGTAGCCTTAAAAGTCTCTGTGTTCTGCTTGGATGTAGTTTCAGGGTGGAGCCTACAGCCTTGGCTTCCGTCAGCCCCGCCCTATACGGCTCCTGAGTCTCAGTATTCCTTAGGGTCCTTCAGTACTCATTGTAACCATCTCTGAGAGAAAGGTGCCCTCGATTTTCGCCTGCTACCAAACAGTCTAGTCTCTTCCCCCAATGAGCCCGGAACTGGGGTTCAGTTCATTTGGAAGTGGAGTTGGAAGTGGTGTTCAGAGCAGTCTGGAGCTTTTGTCTCCTTCCCGCCAGGGCAATCCCGCTACACAGCCAACCGTCCCTTCTCTGCATGCAATGTGCATGCCTCCGGGGGCTCTGCATTTCGCTGCTCCCCCGGGTTTCCGCTTACAGTCCAGGCTCCCTCTGTTTGAGCCGGGGTCCCCGGGGTCTGGCCTAGAATTAGGGTTCAGAGCAGTCGGGTCTGGGGTTCAGCACAGTCCGGAGCTTTTATCTCCTTCCCTCTAGGGAAAGCCAGCCAGGCACTCAGCCGCCCCTCCTCTTTGGCTCTGTCCTCTCTGCGCACCGCGTGTCTCCATACCTTCGGCTTTTACAGCTCCTCTGATTTTCCTTCTGGTTTTCTCTTGTTGTAGAATTTCTAGTCAGTCAACTTTCCTGTAGTTCTGGGTAATGTCCATTTTATATTTTAGTTGTATTTTATTGAAATTGTTGTGTGCTGCTGCGGTTAGGTGTTTACCTGTGCAGCCATCTTGGATTCTTTGTGTTCCATGTATTTGGATAAAGAACAAAACAATGCCTTGTGCTGGAGGCCAATGGCATATCATTAGGATGGACAGAAAGGAGGGACTTGAGTCCTATTTTGTTTCCATTTTTTCTTTTGAACTTGAAAAAAGTAGGACAGGTGGTGATAGGAGGGACATGAACCCCAAGTTGGGTGATTCATCTTCTGACCATGGCAAGTTCTCCTGCATTGCTGAGGTTATAGTTGGTGACCTACAGGATGCATTAGTGACAGCAGAGGGCCTGAGGCCTAGAGATGACTAATATCCATTTAGCAAAAAGACAAAGGAGGTAGGCTCCACAAATTACTATAGACAAGGCTTGTAAGCACTTAAAACAGCACTTAGGAAATGGTTTGTCACTGGGCTTGATTGGGCTCACAGGGGATAAGGCATACCCATTTTAGTTTATTTTTTAAATATTAGACAAAGTTTTTTTGGATTTTAGGTAAGGTTTTGATGTAATCAAATGGCAGCCCCATCCAATTGCCATTTTGTTTAGAACTGGACAAGGCTTGTTCAGGGCTATCCTAGAGGGGATTCCAGTGCTCAGTGGGGGTTTGATTTAAATAACTTTTTAAAAGGTCCCTGAGGTTTTGAGCAAGTTCCGAGTATGGTAGATTCTTATAGGGGAGTGAGAGAGAATGGACAAGTCCAAGAGCTCTCAAGTAGAACTGGGGACACAAGAGCTTCTGAAGTTCTGTTGTAGGCTGCCTCTCTGAGACTTCTGTTCTCTACTTTGCTCTTTTTTTTTTTTAATCAATCTTTATTGTTCATATTGTTACAAAGGTTCCTCATTTCTTCCCCCCTCCACCAGGTTCCCACCCCACCCTCCGCCCCCTCCCCATCCCCCATTGTCCTCATTTATAGGTGCAGTTTATATTCAGTCTCTTCCTCCCTGCCTTTCCCTGATAGTAAATCCCTTTTCAGATAGTAAATCAGTTACTTAGCATTTTCTCATATCAATAATACCACCACATACCCAATGATACATTTCACACAAAAGACATTTCCAAATAGGTCAACCAGCCTCATCCAGGCCCCACCCAAGGCACTCACAGATCAACACCCCAGCCCTATACTAACTCAACACATCCAGATCTAAGCCTTCATCACTTGATTCAGCAGACCCTCAAGTTCCCACAAAAGTTTCCAGCCATGTCTGAGAGGCAGCCGTTGGGTAGGGGCAGGCGAGAAGCAAGCTGTTCCGGGCCTGGCTGCTCCGGGCCTGGCCTCTGTTGCTCTGGTTCGTTCCACAACCAGCTGCTCCGGGTCTGGTCACATCCGCTCCTGACCTAGTTGCTCTGGACCTGGCTGCTGCTGCTCTGGGCCTGGCTGCACCCGACCTGGCTGCTCTGGGCCCAGCTGCTCTGGGCCTGGCCGTTCCTAGCCGGGCAGCCGCTGCTCCGCGCCTGGCCGCACCAGACCTGGCTGCTCCCAGCCTGGCCGCTCCCAGCCTGGATGCTCCGGGCTTGGCTACTGCTGTTCTGGACCTGGCTGCTCCCAACCCGGCTGCTCTGGGCCTAGCTTCTCCGGGTCCGGCCACTCCGGGTCTGGGTATTCCTGGACTGGCCACCCTGGGCTTGGCTGCCTCTGCCTCAGGCCTGGCTGCCACTGCCCCAGGTCTGGCTGCTCCAGTGCTGGCTGTTGTTGCTCTGGTTCTGGCTGCTGCTGCTCTGGGGCCTGGCCGTTGCTGCTCCGGGCCCGGTTGCCATTGCTTTGTGCCTGGGCACTCTAGGCCTGGCCGCCGCTGTTCCAACATTCTGTCCTTTTTTTTTTTTTTTTAACGCATTTATGTTGCAATGTTGGCTGGTGAGTTGAGTTCTGACTTAGTCTTTGATTTTTTCAAGATCTTCTTTGTATTCTTTCTTAAGTAATTTTACTATCTTTTGCTCTCGCTTGATTTCTTCACATTGAGAACTTTGGTTTCTTCCTCCTTTTCATGGGAGCTCAGCAGGTTGGCCTGTGGCACCCCTTTGTTCTCCGCGGGCTCCCGCGCTGCTCCAGCCTGTTGCCTGGGTCGGTGCCGCCCAGGAAGCAGCCTCCAGCCTTGGCTCCATTGCCCGCGCTCAGAGGTCGATGGCTCGGGGGGCACCCCCCCCCTGGGGGCCCCATCATCCGGCTCCCTGCTGGCGCCCGGCTGGCTGGTGTCCGGCAGGGGCTCCTGCTCCCTGTCGCATTCCTCCAGTCTGGAGGTTTTTTTTTTTTTCTCCTTCCCGCTAGGGGAGTCTAGGATCAGAGTCAACAGACTGTCCTCTGCGCGCAGTGTGCTCGACTCTGGGGGCTCCGCCTCACAGCCCCGTCTCCCCCTGCCCGAGCCTGGGTCCCCAGGGTCTGGTCCAGGACTGGGGTTCAGAGCAGTCCGGACTGAGGCTCAGCACCGCCGGAGGCTTTGTTTCTTCACGCTAAGGTAATCCAGCATCAGAGTCAACATTCAGTCCTCTGCGCGCAAAGTGCGCTCAACTCCAGGGGCCCTGCTTTTCGCTGCTCGCTTGGGATTCCGCCTCACAGCCCCGTCTCCCCCACCGGAGCCTGGGTCCTCAGGGTCTGGCTCATAACTGGGGGTCAGCGCTGCCGGTTCGGGGGTTTAGCCCAGGCTAGGGAACGCCAGGCAGCACCCAGCCCTCTCCTCCTCTCCGGCTGCGACCTCTCCGTGCGCGCTTGCGTGCGAGCGCGCAGCATGTCTCCGTACCTTAGGCTTTTTTTCAGCTCCTCTGACTTTCTTTCTGGTTTTCTCTTTCCTTCTTGTTATAGAATTTTCAGTCAGTCGACTACCCATAGCTCTGGGCAATGTCCACTCTACATTTTAGTTGTATTCCATTGAAATTGTTGTGTGCTGCTGCGGTTAGGTGTCTACCCGAGCAGCCATCTTGGATCCTCCTCTACTTTGCTCTGAAGTGCCATGTAGAATACTGCCCCATGCCAGGCAGGAAAGAAGTGAGAGAAGGCCTTCGGGAGACGATAGAGAGAACTGTTGACTAGGTTGAATGGGCATAGGCACACTTCATTCAAAGAGGCAGCCATCACTCAATCCCACTAAGTCGTTATCAATAGGAATGTGGATCTAGGATTGCCAGAGCTTCTGATTTTCAAGAGAAGCCAGGAAAACAAGTTTTCTATGTGAAATATTTTTATTTGTATATACTGGCTGCAAAATGTTTATAACCCCATGCAGGCCAGACAACATATCTGCAGACTGGAGCTGGCCCATACACTGCCACCTATGACCCCTCCTCTGATTAGTCAATGATTCTGTCTTTGTTACTCTTGACATTTCTCCCTTCTGGATAAATATCCCCCAAAGGTGTGATTTCCTACGATTTCCTACATCTTTCTCTCAGCCACCTCTTCTGGGCCCCTTTACCTTGAGTTCCATTCACATTACCATGTACTCTTTCTCAAGGCCATCATTGTGTTAAGCACCGTGACCATCCCCCTTGTTTGCATTATCTAGTAAATGAGTAGTATCAAGGTAAACTTTGTTCTTGCCCCATGAGTGTCGGCATGTTTCATAGGTTTGGTTTTCTTGGAGCCTGTCTGCAGCCAGAGCCCATGAGTCCTTGTTCTTAGAAGTATGAGAAGAGACTGCCTGCTCTCTCGCTGGGGCATGGATACAAACACCCTGTGCCGGGCCCCAGATCCCAGTGCCTTGGCCTGCAGAGGGCAGGGCTCCAATGTGGTCGAGAGCTCGCTACCTGTGAGCCTCCTTGGGATGGTCCTTCCTGCCAGCCATGGCTCCTGGGATGCTCTTACCCTGAGTTTCTCTCCCGTCTGGCTCTGCCTCTTGCCTCATTCTGCAGGAGCGGCAGGAGCCTGTGGCAGTCTGCAGCTTTATATACATTGCACAGTTAATGACTAATTCCACAGTAGCTCCTTGATATGGAAGTGAAACAGCCACAGCTGGTGGGCCTGAACTTTTGGTGACAGTAGAAGTAGTTATGCAAACTGCCAAGGAGGGAGAAGTGCTCTCTGTAGCCAGGTTATGAAGAAAGCTCTTGCCTGGCCTGGTCCCACGTGGCCTCCAGGAGTGACTCTTATAACATGTCTCACCACCCTCATCTCCAACCCCCATTTTTTCTTGGTGACAGCTGGAAGTAGCAGTGGTCACAACTGAAAGAGCCAAACATTTCTACAGCCCCCAGGACATTCCTGTCACCCTCTACAGCGATGCGGATGAATGGGAGGTCAGTGCTGGCGGTCCCCAGGGCTGTGTTCCATCATGTGTCTACCAGCAGCACAGGACTGTACTCCTGCAGCCCATAGTCCTGGTGGCTGGAGCAGACACACCAGGCTCAAGTCAGCAGGTAGGGCCCTCAAGGCAGAGTTGATGAAGAAAACAATTGTCTAGCTTCTGCCTGTGGGAGGCCTGTAGTCTCCTCCTACCCCAGGCAGCGCTCAGCTTTGGCCCTGAGCCTGAAGTTGAATGCCCTTGGGCTTATCTGGGCTGATATAACCACAGAAGAGCTCTGTTCCCCTCACCCTGTCTCCATGGGTCCCAATGTCAGGACTGTCCAGAGTGCCTCACTTCCCACAGCCTGCATCTGCTCTCCCTCAGAAAGGTGGGCACCAGCTGATTCAGCAGACATTGAGTGTGGGCCTCACAGGGGTGCCCTGAAAGGCATTTTTAAACATTCTCAGCCTAGAACATTTCTGATTGGTCCATCTTCCCCAATTCTCTCCCTCCCCCATTTCTCACTGCCCCAGACATTTCTCACTATCCACTGGCTTAGACAACCCAAGCATCTGCCTCAAGCAGACAGGGCAGGAATTTCCTGCCAGATGTCAGTTCTCTTGAAAACCAAACCATAAAGTGAATAGCTTGAAAGACAAGGGGCGTTTGTTTTCTCAGGCCTGGTTTCTCTCATGCTGTTGACTGCAGCCAATGCTCTCACCAGCTTAGCTGTGGAGGGGGTAACAGTGGATTTGGGCAGGGTTGCTCATCAGATAGTCTCCTCCAGTTCCTGACTTAGTGTCCTTGGCCCCTGTTGCCTCCCTCACCCCCCAACCCCCAACACACCTCCTTCCCTCTACGAACAGAATTGTCTGCCCAGTGACCCCATTTCTTTCTCTCTGCCAGATGTGGAAGTGCCGGTCTGACCCAGTTCTCCACATTGACCTTCGGAGGTGGGCAGACCTTATGCTGGTGGCTCCTCTTGATGCCAACACTCTGGGGAAGGTGGCCAGTGGCATCTGTGACAACTTGCTTGTGAGTGAATCCTGTCTCCTCCCTCTCTGAACCTCTCTCCCAGTTTGCTGAGTTACAGACTACCTGTGTACAAGGTTCTAACCTTGGAATCCTTTGATCGTGGTCCAGTTTGCTCAGAACACTGTCCCTCTGCCCCTACCTATCTCACCTGTGCTCTGGCAAGTGGGCAGAATGTGTGGTCCTGATGGATAGACTCAACCTGTGGGTGCTTTCTGAGGCTGTCCATTTCTCACCTGCTCTTTGACGTTCAGCTCTTCTCCCTTTGTCCTTCATTCATGGGCTGCCATCCTGTCGATTTCCTGGCCTAGTCCCATTTCCTGCCTTCTCACTGGGATCTGGATATCCACATGGGCAACTGATAAGAGTGTTAATTCTTCATGGATGTTTCACACACATTTATCTCTTCTGTATTTTAGTCACAGGTGGAGGTACAGTTTTCATGTCATGGAAAGCTGAGAGAGGAAAATAGAAAGACAGGGCAAGAGTGTGAGCTTATGGGTGATGGAGGAGAAGAGCAGAAGTTCAGCTGTGCAAGGTGGGGTTGATAGACCTCCAGGGAGCTATTGTCCTTAAAGAACCTTTGTGTACTTGATCATCCTGGGAAGAGTTAGGCATGATCTCTCTCCTCCCTCTGCCTTATTACCATCCCTTTCCTCATTTATTGAGCTTTTACCTACATGAACTGGACCCATGCTGAGAAACACACAGGACACAGGGAACTCACAGTCTGGAAGGAGAGGATTTTTCTTCACCCATTCAGGCGAGAAGGGAGCATGCTCTGGTGTGTGGTCTAGTCTTAAATGTTCCCAGTCAGTCCTTTGACAATAGAGTCACCACCTTGCAAAGTGCTAGGCATATACTTGCTATATGTATGAGATAATTACTAATTTTATTGTGACAAACAGCCAGGAGTTTTTCAGAGTCTAATATGGTAAAGAAGTGAATAATGAAGCTGGGTCAATATTTTTGGGGGTCAGATAGGTTAGTCTCCTCCTATCTTGTTGATAGCACTTAAGGCACTTTTGGAAGAATCTACTAGTGATTTCAGCATCACTTGAATAAGAACACAAGGTGACCAGAAGAAGGGCAGCACACAGATTGTGTGGCCAGGAGCAGGGTAAGGTGGTGCAGAGATGGGTGAGCCTATGGTAAGGGAATGCAGAAGGCTTCCCAGTGGGGCTGGTGCCAAGGCTGACAGGGCAGCTAGAGCCTGTGAGCCTCCTGCCACTTTCATTTATGTGGGTCAGAGTTGTATGTGCCCAGCACTGTGTTACCAAACCTCTAGGGTTCCCACTGCTAGTCAGCACACCAAGCTCTAGGCCCTAGAGGTGTCGAACTCAATCAGAGAAGGGGACAAAATCTAAAATCCAGCCTAAATCGTGGGCCGAATGGTTTACTGAACAGTCATAAACTGTCATTGTGATGGAAACGCAGCGGAGTGCAGTGATGACAGCGCGGTGCGGGCCACATTGCAAGGCCTGGCGGGACGGATTTGGCCCGCGGGCCTTGTGTTTGACACATGTGCTCTAGGGGTTAAGCCCCGGCCTAGGCTGCTCTCCGAGGCTTCCTCCTTCCTCCTGAAAGTTCTGCTTTCCTTTTTTCCTTGAAGATGCCCTCCTCCTGAGTTGGCTGAGCAGTAGAATAAGTTTCTAAAACCAGCCCCCAGATAATTTTCCTCAAAAGGTTTCACTTGAAGGCAAATTTAAACAAAAAATATATTTTTGTTGATTTCAGAGAAGGGAGAGGGAGAGAGAGAAACACCAATGAGAGAGAATCATCAAGCGGCTGCCTCCTGCATGGGGATCGAGCCTGAAATGCAGGCATGTGTCCTGACTGGAATTAAACCTTGATTTCTGGTTCATAGGTCAGTGCTCAACCATTGAGTCACACTGGCTGGGCAAAGGCAGATATTTTAAGAAATTGCAAATCTTACAATGTATAAACTGTCACCATCTTTGCTCTGTGGCTCTGTCCTCTCTCAAAAGATGTTTTATCCTTATATCCTTTATCCTTTATCCTTTATCCTGGAAAAGAAGCTCACCCTGCTACTTCTCTCCTTCACTTCTCCTTCCTTCCTTTTTAGTGCCCAGAAGTTGTGGTGCTATTAGAGCAGTGTGCTGAGTGTGAATCTGTGTGCTGGCCTCTGGGCCTTTGTCATATGACCGCCCTCTGGCCTACTCAGTTCTTGGCCCCTTCTTTGTGCTAAACAGCCAAGCAGACCCAGAAAGATTTCCTTGGGTCACCAGTCTAGCTGGGAGCTGGTCTTCTGATCGGGATCCAGGCCTTCTCTTTGCCCAAGCAGATTCCCAGGGGCAGAACCAGAGTTGCTGAATACAGTTTTTTGGGTTTTAAAAAATATATATTTTATTGATTTTTTACAGAGAGGAAGGGAGAGAGATAGAGAGCTAGAAACGTCGATGAGAGAGAAACATTGACCAGCTGTCTCTTGCACACCCCCTACCGGGGATGTGCCCGTAACCAATGTACATGCCCCTGACCGGAATAGAACCTGGGACCTTTCAGTCCACAGACCGACACTCTACCACTGAGCCAAACCGGTTTTGGCTGAATACAGTTTTGGCCAATCAGAAGTGATAATGGGAACTATTGCCTTCTTCCATGCCCCTTGCTGCCAGAAAGTTTGGAGGAGCTCTGAAAAAAGTCCAGGAAACCTGAGCTTAGAGAAGAACAAGAGAGTGTGGGACATGGAAGGGTTTGGTTTCTGCTCTGGTCAGTGTGTTTTATTTTGAGAATACAGAAACCCCAGCCCAGCCCCACCCCACCCCACATGCAGTCAGGGTGCTCTTCTAGGTATACTCATGGCTTCTGCAGAAGCAGCAGATGTCATAGGGCCAAGATGAAGTGCGACCGAAACTGTCCACTCATAGCCCGGTTGATGAACTCTGAGAGACATTGGTGGGAAACAAATGCTAGTGTCTGGGACGATGCAAACAGCCAGATCTAGAGGCTGTGTGTTGTCCTACTTCCTTCCTGTCCCCAGGAGAGGGCAGGGTCACTGAGAAGGGTGGCCTTGGTCCTGGCCTCTTCATTTCATTGTTCTCTGGACTCCCCTCTCTTTTCCTAGAGCAGCCGTTCTCAACCTGTAGGTCACGACCCCTTTGGGGGTCGAACGGCCCTTTCACAGGGATCGCCTAAGACATCCTGCATATCAGATATTTACATTACGATCCATAACAGTAGCAAAATTATAGTTATGAAGCAGCAATGAGAATAATTTCTGGTTAGGGGTCATCACAACATGAGGAACTGTATTAAAGGGTCGCGGCATTAGGAAGGTTGAGATCTACTGTCCTAGAGGGACATGAGACCGCTCACTGCAGATAGCAGCCCTCAGTCATCCTAACCTCATGGCTGCTTGTGACCCAGAGGATGGTATGTAGGATTTGGAAGGGTTGGGGAGGGACGGGAGGTGGAACATCATGCACCCCTCCCCCACCCTTTTTCACAGACCTGTGTCATCCGGGCCTGGGACCGCAGAAAGCCCCTGCTCTTCTGCCCAGCAATGAACACTGCCATGTGGGAGCATCCCCTTACCTCGCAGCAGGTGGGCCAGCTCCAGGCCTTTGGCTATATCGAGATCCCCTGTGTGGCCAAGAAGCTGGTGTGTGGAGACCAAGGTGGGCATCTGGCCAGGCCTATAGCCTGTCCTCACGGCCCATGGTCAGATCTGGATTAAGATCCCAGCCTGTTGTGACCTCAGGCAAAACCATTCTCCTCTGGAGGCTGGATATCATAATTCCTTCCCCCTCGGGTTGTTAGGATTAAATGTGATAGTTCAAGTAAGGTGCCTGATATCCAGCATGCAGTCCATGCATAGTTCATGACAGCTACTATAACTGTTCCCGGGTCCTGTCCTGTTGGGTTTCAGAAGGATGTGATGGGACTGGCTCAGGCAGAAGGTCCTGGCCTTCTCAGGCACTGCAGTCTGGGTGGAGCCCTCAGGGGAGTACAGGGTGGGATGGGAGTGGGGGTGGTACCCTGCCTCAGTCTGCAGGGTCACAGCAGAACATTATTCCCTAGGTCTGGGGGCCATGGCTGAGGTGGACACCATTGTGGACAAAGTGAAGGAAGTTCTCTCCCAGCACGCTGGCTTTCAGCAGAGTTGAACCCAGGATATCTCATGTGTGTCCTTCTGCACCCAGTGCGTTTTCAGGCCGTGTCAGTGAAGGTGGACACTGGCAAAGTATGGTGAGAATTCACCTTTGCGGAGTAAGGGTCTAGCCTGGGCCTGCTCCACAGTCTCCGAAGGCCCGACCTGCCCCAAGGTAAATTGGACCAAAGGCCCAGTTCTCAACTTCTTTCAGCCAGGAGACTCCCTGCTATCTGGAGTTCCTCCCCCTCCTTTTCCTGGAATGGTTCCAGCAAGCCAGAGGGGCAAGTTGCTGTATGTCCCTGTGCCTCTGGGAGGAGACTGAGGAGTGACTGGCCAACCTGATTCTACACTGTGCCCAGGAACCACTTTTAGAAATGGTCTCAGCTGGAGATTCCCGGGGTGGTGAGCCCCTGGCCTCGCCTTTGGAACGTCAGCTGCCCTGCAGAGTCAGGAAAGCCTGTAAGTTTGAAAGACCCTGGCCGTGCTGTAAGATTGGGGATACTGGGAAATAAAGTGACCTTTTGAGAGACTCTGTCCTTCTTTCACGGCCCATATGTGGTCTCAGAAATCAGGGGTGTTGCTTGGTGTGGGTGAGGAAGGCTCTGGTGCTTGTTAGGCCCATGCCATACAGTGGTTAAGGGCAAAGGGCTCTGAAGCAAGACGGCCCCTACTTTTTTTTTTTTTGACAGCCCCTACTTTAAATCCCAGTTCTACCACCTGCTAGCAGTGGGACTTTGGCTCAGGACTCAGCTTTTCTGACCTTCACTTTCCTCATCTGTATTACTCTACCCTTCCAAAGTTATTAAGAGAATCAAATGAGATAATTTGTGTAGAATAACCACCCCCCTGAGTGCCTCCTCCATAATAAATGTAAAATAAATGGAAGTTAAAGCTGTGTGTGTATCAGCGAATGGTCCTAGCATGTGAGTGTGTGTGTGTGTGTGTGTGTGTGTGTGTGTGTGTGTGTGTGTCAGGGAATGGTCCTAGCATTTACTGAAATAGACTGTCTCATTTTGGGGAAAATAAAATCCTGACCCTTAGCAGATGTAGCCCTTTATGCAAGTGACAGGCACACGCCAGCAGGGTTGGAGTCTGTCCTGGAACTCAGTCCCCTTGCTTCCTGGTGTCTTCAATTGTTCTTGTGTGTTTTTTTCCCCCTTAATCCTCACTGAGGACATGTTTATTGATTTTAGAGAGAGGGAGGGAGGAAGAAGAGGGAGAGAGAGAGACAGAGAGAGAGAGAGAGAAGAGAGGGAGGGAGAGAGAGGAGAATCGATGCAAGAGAAACGTCGATTGGTTGCCTCTCGTACTCACCCCGGGAGAGAGAGAGAGAGAGAGAGAGAGAGAGAGAGAGAGAGAGAGAGAGAGAGAAGAATCAATGTGAGAGAAACATCGATTGGTTGCCTCTCGTACTCACCCCGGGAGAGAGAGAGAGAGAGAGAGAGAGAGAGAGAGAGAGGAGGAGGAGGAGGAGGAGAAGGATCAATGTGAGAGAAACATCGATTGGTTGCCTCTCGTACTCACCCAGCTGGGGACTAAACCCACAACCCAGGCATAAGACCTGACTGAGAATTGAACCTATGACCTTTTGATATATGGGATGACAGTCCAACCAATTGAGCCACACCAGCCAAGGCCTGTGTCCTCAATTTTGCTACACCTCAGATGGTGGCCTGATAGAGGACCCGCCCACTGCCCAACAACATGCAGGGATGAGGAAGCAGGCTCTAGACACAATGCTCAGCCCTAGAAACTCTTCTCCTGCCTTTGACCTAATTGCTGTTTGATGGCTGCACTGGGGAGGTGCTTGTTTTCCTACTTGGAGCTGAGATTAGGGCTTGCTTCCCGTTCTATTGTCTTCCAGGCCAGGGGTGAATGGGACCCCATGCATGCCCTCAGACCATGCATGCCTTCAAGGGGCACCAGGAGGCCTGGCTGGAACCGAGGCCTCCCAAAGCCTCCAAGAGCCTCTATTTCTATAGCACTTGACTTAATCAAGTGACCCTTTGGGATAAAACTGCCTTTGGACCTTAAAGAAAATATAATTAAAATGGCAGCATCAAGAACCAGCCTGTTTGGCTGGTTTGGAGGTCGTGGGTGTGGAGAGAGCCTGAGTGACTGAAATTCAGAGACAGTCCCAAAATTCCACTTAACATGGTTTCCAACATCTCTCTTCCTATCCACATGCCCCTTCCTTTCCTTCAGGACCCTGCTAACAAATGGTGAGGCTTTCCAATTTTAATAGGAACTGCTACCATTTCCTGAGAGGCTCTGTGCTGGACTCTTTGGGAAGGCTGTTGCCCAGGAGTCCTGCTACAAAATACTTATTTTTAATAAAAGGTCACAGGAGCAGAGACATTTGTAGGCCTTTGTCTGATAGCTCTCAAAACAGCTGTGGCTACTTAGAGCAGACTGAGCCTTGTTAGCTGGGAGGAAAGAAATGTTCCTTTGGATGTGGGCCAGCTGGAGACACAATCTCTTGGAGCCTGCCACTTCGTTGTGGCAGTCCTGCACCCCTGTTGCCCATTTAGCGTGGAAGTCTGAATGAACAGGCTGGGGTTGAAGAGCCTAGTTGTTCCCACAGCTATGTAGTGCCTGAGCTGTACTACCTGGGCCCCATCTGCCAGAGGGGTGCTGAGGTGGGAGTGATAAGCACGGCTTCCCCAGTAAGAGTTAAAGCTCTTAAAGTTGTCATCATTGGGCAAAAATGTTTCTTAGAGAAGATGCTAGTTTCCCTAATGATTTTTATACAATTCTGGGAGTTTGACGGGATTGAACATTTGGGTCTGAAGTTTGCACTCTTTTTTTTTTTTTTAAATATATTTTATTGATATTTTACAGAGAGAGCTAGAAACGTCGATGAGAGAGAAACATCGACCAACTGCCTCTTGCACACCCCCTACCGGGGATGTGCCCGCAACCAATGTACATGCCCTTGACCAGAATCGAACCCGGGACCTCTCAGTCCGCAGACCGACTGAGCCAAACCGGTTTCAGCTGAAGTTTGCACTCTTGTTTGACAGCCTGGATCAGGCGTCCTCAAACTTTTTAAAGTGGGGGCCAGATCACGGTCCCTCAGAGAGCTGGAGGGCCGGACTATATGAACTACTAATTCCTACTGTAACACCTCAGCTGCGCTCACTGCCCAAAAAACCTGGCGGGCCGGATCAGACTCCTCTGCGGGCCACATGTGGCCCGTGGGCCGTAGTTTGAAGACGCCTGGCCTGGATGGAGGCTCTGTAGGCTGCCAGGGCTGCTGCTGGTCAAGGAGCCAGGACCCAGCCTCCACACTGGGCTGTCAGTTCTTCCTCCATACAGCTCATGTGTCCCTCTGCCGCTTCCTCACTGCCTTAGAGTAAGGCCCTGACTCCTGGGTAAGGCATACCTGGTCCCTGCCCACCTTTCTAGAATAGCTCCACCCTTTATCACACACCAGCCCTGCAGGGTCCCCTGTCCTTTAACCCAGACTGGACAACCTGCCAGACAGGACAACCTTGATGGGGTCCTGTTGCTTCTTGCCTTTGCACATGCTGATGCTTTAATTGGAAGGCCGTGCTTCACCTGGCTGACTCTTACTCATGCTCTGTGAGTCTGGGTAGCACCTACTTTGGAAAGCCTTCCCTGGCCAACTCAGGCTGATACCCATTGTGCCACTTTCTCATCCTATACCCTATATAATAAAGAAGTAATATGCAAATTGACCATCACTCCAACATACAAGATGGCCAATCCCATGTAGTCAAAGATGGCCACCCCTATGTGGACACAAGATGGCCACCACAAAATGGCTGGCAGGGGAGGAAAATTGTGGGTGATCAGGCCAATAAGTGAGGACAGTTGGGAGGGACCAGGCCAGCAGGAGAGGGCAGTTGAAGGCAATCAACTCTGCAGGGGAGGGCAGTTAGGGGTAACCAGATTGGCAGAGGAGGGAAGTTGGGGGCAAACAGTCTGGCAGGGGAGCAGTTAGGCATCAATCAGGCTGGCATTGGATTGGTTAGGGGGTTATCAGGCTGCCAGGCAGAAGCAGTTAGGGGCATACAGGAAGGCAGAAAGGTGAGCAGTTGTGAGCCAGCAGTCCTGGATTGTGAGAGGGGTGATGTCCCACTGCCCATTTAGGCTTGATCCCCCTAAACTGGGACTCTAGTTTTGTAGTATAAAATAAGAAAAAGCCAATTGGGGTACAGAACTGAGAAGATGGGAAGAAAGAAGAAAGGAGCCCTACTTTGGGGTTGGTCCTAGAGTCATCTTTTCTTGGCGGATTGAGATAATGGGAAAAGGGGGTAAGAAATTAAAGCAAGAGAGACTCTATTAACTCAAAATGCTGAGAGGAGCCTACATTCAGGGAGTGGCAGCAGAGCCATGTCGGCAGCCAGGAGTGGGTCACAGTTGGGATGAGCTGGTAGAGTGTCAGAGCTGCTAAGAGAGACAAGAAGATGGGTCTGGGGTATGAAGGGACATTTTGATGAATGTTGCTGAGGATTGTGAGTTGGAGACACTTTGATGTTCTTCAAGAGACCCAAGTAAAGATTGGGATCCTTTAGGTTCCTTTGCCAGTGTGTGCTTCTTTGAGTGTGATCTGTGCAGTACTGAGCCACAGGGAGCCCCAGATTATATTAGGTTTTATATATAGGGTGTCCCAAAAATGTATACACAAACTTTGAATAATTTTGGGGGGTAAACCCTGTATATGTTGTGTATTCCCTGTACTACAAAAAGTTTCCTTGATTTTATTTCACTTTCCTAACACAACAGAACCACGATAGACTTAACTAGGATATTTAATTCCATTTTATACACAGGAATGTCAGGGTCACTCTTTCTGCCCTACAACTACCAAACAGGTGGCTGCTGTCTTAGAACCAAGCTCCCATCTCATTAGCATTTACCCTTTGGAATATGTTGAAACACCCCTCCACCACACACCACTATTACACACACTACCACACATTACCACCACGTCACATACACACCACCACCACCACGTCCCATACACACCAGTTCCACCACATCCCATACACACCACCTTCACCACATCCCATACACACCACCACCACATACATCCCACTACCACCACACACCTCCATCCCCAGACACATATAGCACTACCACCACCAAACACATACACACTCTATCACCACCACCACTCACACACCACATGCACCACACACCACCACACATACCACCACAAACACACAATCACCACCATCTCCACACACCACCACAAACACACACACAGTCACCACCATCTCCACACACATCACCACCACCACGAAACACCCACACTACCACACACACACCACAAAGACGGCCACCACACACACACATCACCACACTCACACCACCACACACACATTGCCACATGTACACACTACCATCACACACATATAGCACACACACACCACCACCACCACCACACACACCACCATCACCAGATACCTGATTTTTTAGCCCCAATTTATTAGCTTCATTACCTTTTTCTTAAAGCTTCCTTCATACATATTTTCTAGGACAGTACGAAAATGTCACACA